CTCTGATGCTGGGTAAGTTGTGAGAGCAGTCTAAAAGCCTTCCCACACTCTTCACATTCATAGGGTCTCTCACCAACATGAATGCTCTGATGTGAAATAAGTTGCGAGTAACTACTAAAGGTTTTCCAACAGTCCACACATTCATAGGGTTTCTCCCGAGTATGAATTCTCTGATGGCGAACAAGTTGTTGCCTTAGTCTAAAAGTCTTCCCACATTCCTTACATTCATAGGGTTTCTCACCAGTATGAATACTCTGATGGACAGTAAGTTGTTGGAATATTCTAAAAGCCTTTCCACATTCCTTACACATATAGGGTTTCTCACCAAAATGAATTTTCTGGTGTACCCTGAGGTCTGGCCCACATACAAAGGCTTTCCCACATTCCTTACATTTATGGAGTTTCTCAGAAGTATGAAGTCTCTGGTGTCGAGTAAGGTGTGTACACTGTCTAAAGGTCTTTCCACATTCCTTACACTCGTAAGGTTTCTCACCAGTGTGGATTCTCTGATGTCGAGCAAGTTGCTGGTGTACTCTGAAGGCCTTTCCGCATTCCTTACATTTGTAAGGTTTCTCACCAGTATGAAGTCTCTGATGTTGAGTAAGTTCTTGGAGTACTGTAAAGGCCTTCCCACACTCCTTACATTCGTAGGGTTTCTCACCAGTATGAAGTTTGTAATGCCGAATAAGGTGTGCACGCTGTCTAAAGGCCTGTCCACATTCCTTACATTTATAAGGTTTCTCACCAGTATGAATTCTGAGGTGTTGACTCAGTGTTGAACGACGAATAAATGTCTTCCTACATTCTTTACATTCATATAACTTTTCTCCATTATGAACTCTCTGATATTCAGTAAGGAGACTGTGATTTTTGTAAGTGTTCTTTTTTTCAGGGGTTATTTTCACTTGCCTAAAATATCCTTCTTGTGGTTCCTTTTGTCCCTCAATCTTGTTTTGGCATCCCCAATCATTTCCATAAGTGGAGCTCTGAAGGTTAGAGCATTTCATTCTTTCTATTATTTCCCACTGGAGTGAATAGATTTCATAAATGGCCTTTTCCGAAGATAAGTTATTGGTCCTGTATCTGGACTCCAAATCTGAAAAAATAGAAAAACAAGAAATCAAACACATGGTATTTTCCTATCTAGAAGTAATGTATAAATAAAAGGTAAATTTAAATTAATGTCTATTTGAAATAAATGGATTAGAGACTCTATAGCAAAAAATTCTGCTACAGTTACTACATATGTGTTCCTAAAATGCCTCACTTTCTACAAACTTATAAGTTTCTACAAAATTTATAGGTATCATGGAAAAAACAAAGCTGGAGTACAATACACAAATCTATTTAACTTTATAACCACCAGGGCACTAGCAAAAATAGTAACTGACCAATCAAAGGATAAGTTGGATAAGATAAAAAGCTCAGTACAGCTGAAGAGTGCTTCGTGTACATTCAAATGTACAAAAATAAAGTGCAAATGCTGGACTTCCGGTACTGAGACATTACCTGAAAAGTGAAGCACAGAATAAACAAAGCAGGAGACGCTGAGAAAAAGAGTAAACTAAGTCACAAGGGCTGGTGTGAGCAGCAAATCTTTTCAGTTCTATGACTAACATTGCCACAGATGTGAGGATTTGGGTACCAACATAATTTACATGTTATTTGATCTAAAATATAGAAGTCATTTAATGGACACTGGTACTTCTGACTAAGACAGAAGAACTGATGTCAGACTAACTTACTGAAAACAAAATGTTGACTTAAAAAAATCTGTTCGAAGACACTAATAAAACAGCTAAAGCTGCCAGGATTAGATAAGCAAAATCCTAGAGAGAAAAAATACATTGGATTAAAAGTTTTGAAAATCATTCCAGTCTTTCAGTTAGGATCCTATCTATAAAGGTTACACTTAGAACTAGGAACAAAGGAAAAAAAAAAAAAATCCTCAAATAGATGAAGTTGGGCAGCCCATATTCTACCTGCCAGTCATTGACAAATTAAATCCTCCCTGGAGAAGGACAATTTATCATTCAGAAATAGCATTATTCAAATATAATGTTCAGCATTCACTTATAAATGATAAGGTATACTAAGGACAAAGTTCAAAAGGATGTGAAGGAGAGTGGAATGGAAATAGAAACCATAGGGAGGAAGTGAGATGAAACAAAGTATATGATTTATTGAATATAAAACCTTCTATAAACCTTCACTCAATTCACAATAAACATTTTTAAACAACAACATTATACAGTATAACAAGCCAAGAGAAAAATGACCAAAAAACAAGCAATAAAACAAAATAGAAACAAATAGAAAGATGTTCTAGGTACATGGATTCAAAGATTTAATATTGTTAAGATTTCAATACTACACAAAGCAATCTATGGATTTAATGCAACCCTGATAAAAATTCCAATAGCTTTATTTATAGAAATGGAAAAAACAACCTTCAACTTTATATGGAATAACAAGACATTTCAAATAGTTGAAGCAATGTCCATCTGTAAAAAGCTGAGCTGGCAAAAGTGATCAGCATACTTAGTACCATGGCAAATAAAAAGTATCTGCTGAGGCTGCTATGTACGACTACACTCGTCAACGGATTTGGTTCTTTGGTTTGGAAGTTTAGGATGGTCCATACCAGTTACTTAGCCTAATAACGTGTTTTAGTGTTTCCTTCTACCCCTAAGTTTGCTGCATAGTTCCTCAGGTCTTTAAAGCTACGCAAGAGGCATCCAAAGTCCAATAATTAGTGTCTGCTAACCTGAGGCAACAGAAGAAAGTTTTGACATCCTTTACAGGCTCAAACTGTTTTCCTTTTAAATGTTCTTTGAGTTTGGGGAACAAAAAGAAAACTTCAAGGGGTAAGATCAAAGTTGTATGGTGGATGGAGTAAGGTTTCCCAACAAATATCTCATAGATGGCTCTTAGTATTTTTAAACAATGAGATATATTACCTTATCAGTATTAATAGTTCTAAAAAATGTTAATGTTCTAACATTTCTCCCCCTTCATCACTGTTGTTTAGTGACATTAAGTCAGTTCCAACTCAGAGGGAGCCTGTATAGGGTTTCCAAGAAGATGCTGGTGAGTTTGAACTGCTGGTCTTGTGGTTAGCAGTCCAGTGCTTATTTTACAGCGCCTCACTAGGACTCTCCTGAATGTGGGTTAAATGCACCAGTAAAGAGACAGAGAGTAGCAGAACAGATTCAAACTTTGGTACTCGTTTGGTAACGGATACAAACAATGGAATACTACACAAACACACTATGGAATACTATGCAACACTGAAAAATAATGATTAGTTTGCAAAATACCTCATAACATGGATGAACCTGGAGGACACTATGCTGAGAGAAATTAGTCAATCACAGGAGGGCAGATATTGTCTGAGACCACTGTTGCAAAAAGTTAAGAAAAAGTTTTCTTGCTCAAAGAAACATTATATGATGTTTACCAGGGGTCGGAGGGAAGGGAACATTATTCACTGGGTAGAGGATGCTGTTGTCGTTAAGTGCTGTCAAGTCGGTTCTAACTCATAGAGACCCTATACAGGGTTTCCTAGGAACAGCTGGTGAGCTTGAACTAACAACTCTATGGTTCAAACTGACTTTGCAATCCAGCACATTAACCCACAGAGCCACACCAGGACTCCAGGTAGAAGATAGACACATGTTAATTTGGGTAATGGGGAAGGCAATATACAAGGGGGTGGTTGGCAGAGGAATGATGAAGACAGTGGAAGACACAGGGAGGAGTACAAGAGTTAACGTGAATAGAGGTAATTACTGTTAACTGCTGCTACATGGAAGGAATTGCAATCATTGTTACAAAACAAGGTGTATCATCTGTTGAATGTGGGACTGATGATCAGTTCTTTGACCCTTATTTACTCAAATCACAATAAGAATAAAAATTTTAAAAGCACGCCTCTTTGAAGAAATGGTTGGTCCAACAGTGAAGCAAAAAGTATCAGAAATCAAATAAGTACTCAAAAATTAAGAAGACATGCTCAAAGTAAATAGAAATCATCTTGAATGGTTTCCACTAGCCAACTGAGGGATACGTTGAATATCAAAATAAAGAATGATAGTAACAGATAATAACCCACTAAAGATTAGAAAGTCAAGAGTCCTTATAGATACAAATGAATGAATAATAAAATAGAAAATATGATAAGGAACTAAGTATGTGTAAAATTTCAAGGTGCTTTCACAGAAAATACTTAACTACAAAGAGTAACTTTACAGTGGAGAAGACTGGCAGACATCACTGTACTATAGTGATCAAAGTGAGTATCATTAGTAACAGAGCAAAACATAATGGGATGCAATGAGAAAAATATAACTTAGAAAAACAATACAAAGAATCAACATGAAAAGAAGCTGGTTCTTTGAAAGGATTAATAAAATCAACAAACCATCGGCAAATCTAACAAAAGGAAAAAGGGAGAAGACACAAATAACAAACATAAGGAAACACATGGGTGACATCACAATAGAACCAATGGAAATAAAAAGGATAATAACAGAATACTATGAAGAGTTGTACCCCAACAAATTTGAAAATTTAGAGGAAATAGATAAGTTTTTGGAAAACCACAAGCTCTTAATCTTACACAGAGTGAAGTAGAAAACTTGAACAGATCTATCACAAAAGAAGAAATTAATCAGGTCATCTA